CCTTTAATCCCGTCACTGTGTTTTTGATTAAGTAATAAAACTCCAGAGACAAAATAAACAGTATTGGTGATAAGGGGTCTCCTTGTCTAACCCCCCTAGAAAGGCCGAAAAATCCAGTTGATTCACCCCTGTTCATTACACAGCTCACCGGGTCAGTATAAAAGCATTGCACCCAACGTAAGACGGAAGGACCAACATTAAATATTTCTAGACATTGGAACTTGTGTAAGTTAGATGTCAATTGGCCACTGAACTCCCCTACCTGAAACGGCAACCAATCCAGGGCGTTGTAACAGAGACGCATACACTTACACTGCAAACATCTGTGTCACAGTGGTTGACCAATAGAACACCGGCATGGAAATTATAATCGTTAGCATTTCATCAAAACGTGGCGTTGAAATTAGCAAAGGTGAGGATAACTTGACAACAAATTGATTTTTGTTTAGATGGGGTAATCGAGAATAAGCACCTTTGAAACTGCTTGCTCTATCACGTGATTGAATCGGACCAGTCGGTGTGATTGTTGCTCCTGTCGATGAATTTTGGAATGTAACCTGACTGAATGAATGAATGCAGTACTATCGTAACACGCCCTCTCTTTGCAGTAGTTATCTGGTCTCCTTTATTTCCGAGTACACGTTTTATCATTTCTGCAGACAATGTGGAGTACTTTAAACTGTGCTCTGATGGTGTTGGTATTCTGTGTATCAGCGGTGCACGCAGTGGCTAGCGAAGAAGAACATCGCTGCGACGTTGAGCCACATTTCCACCGTTCGGGTGAAAAGAGTCGAATCACGGACACTGAAAGACGAGGTAGGTATAATTAGTACAATGTATGCATGGCGAACGATGCGATGTGAGTAGAAACATGTAGTAGACAATGACTCAACTGAAGTAAATTTAGAAACTCAGATCACACGTTGTCCTTCTTTGCCGGTATCGTGGTGATCGATTGACTGATAGATATATTGATTGGAATGATTGATTGATTGATTGCTAACCAACCATGATTGGGTCGTAGGGAAAGCAACACCATTTCGCAAAGACCACTATAAAAAAATAAACACACGAGCCTATTAAGTAATGATATGTTATTTTTCTGAACAATTTTGAGGATCGATTTCATCTTCAACTGAGTTACGTGGACTTCAATGTAGAAAGTGTCTTTGCCAACTACGATATACTTTTATGCGTGATCCCAAAGTTGTATTCAAATATTAGCAGGAAATGTCGATATGTATAGATACCCGATGTACAAGTTCTGTGTGGTAATGTGTTAGTTAAAGTGATACACGGAAACAATGTATACATCACTGGTGAACTGTATGTTTATTGCATGGATCAACAGGTTTGCTTTGTTGCAATGTAATAACAATTTTATCAAAACATGAATGTCAAACTTTCTTTACGGTGATAATAGAATATTACATTACGTTCTCTATGCTAGTTCTAGGGATTTACCCGGCACAAGATAGAATACATGAAGACGGTAGCACCGACTTGTTAAAACGGCCTGTGAAACCACCTTTGACCACTGCGGCTCCAGCTCCAAGTCAATGTGAAGACAAGTTGAAATATCTTGTAGAAAACCTACAGAGTATAATCGGTGAGTTGGCTGTTGTAAAAGCTGTCTGTTACCTTCCTTGGGAATTTTGGCATGTGGGTTAAAGGGCGGCAGTCGCCGTGTCGCGTCGTGTTCGATATGGGACTCGTAGCGACGTATACAACGCGTGTAAAATACATTGTTTATTTACATGAAATTCAAACACGCGCTGCGCGACGACCACCGCACTTTAACATACAAGTCCATGGCCAAATGTAATGCAAATCGGATAAACCAGAATCAAGCATAAACAAAACACCCATGTATTGGGTACAACTGGCCGCAATTTCATTGGTTAAGTCTGGCTCTTGAGGGACGAAGCGCGTCTGTAACGTCATCACATGAAATGGACGTAAATAATGTCATTCATACAGACAAGTGCGTATGGCAGTGTAACGGTTTGCCACTGAGAATTCATCACATTTATTAAGAGAAAAAGTTTTAATTTTTTGAGTGACAACTGCAGATCAAGCTACTAGTATATCGACGTTTTATCAGCCATTTACGTCACACCAACTCTTCATCACTAGAGGGCGCCTCTTCGCGGGAAGGTTTGCCCATTATATTTAACGGATTTGTGTTGTATTTCTTGCAGATACATGTAGCTCTCTTATTTGTTGTGGAGAACCAACACCAGAACCAGAACCCACGCCAGCGGTATGTGCTGATTACTGCTCGTGGCCAGATGACGAAGAATGCGATGACGGTGGGCCAGGCAGCAGTCATCATGTATGTCCATATGGCTCCGACTGCAGTGATTGTGGACCGCGCCCTGTATCCATGGTTTGTAATGATGTCTGCGATTGGGCTTACGATGGTGCGTGCGACGACGGCGGTCAAGATAGCAGCTATAATGTATGTACGTTCGGCACGGATTGCGGCGACTGCGGGCCGCGACGTGTTTTCTGCACAGACGACTGTCACGCTGCCAACGATGGATTATGCGATGACGGTGGACACGGCCATAACGGGGCGAATGCGTGCTCACATGGTACGGACTGCGGAGACTGCGGGTCACGCTCAGCTGACGCCATATGCTGGAATTCTTGTGGATCGTCGTATGACGGTGTATGTGACGACGGCGGTCCCGACAATGGGTTGTGTATATATGGCACGGACTGTGCAGACTGTGGCACAAGATACATGCCTTGAAACACTAACTTTAACACCGGTTTTAGCGTTCTTTGAAATGTTGGGACGGTAAATGTTCATGAAATTAAAAATGTACACAAATGAGTATTGATTGTATTTATGTTAACAAAGTTTAATAGGCACGTTGAAATAAAACGCACATCACAGGGAATGGCGGATACAATCTCACACCCTGTTGGAGCATGGACTAAATTGCCAGTGTCAAAACAAATTTTTCCCGTACTTTCTAAATACCGCCCAGAGTATGTTCCACCACCCACCCACCCAGCCCAGCCCAGCCCAGCCCAGTCCAGCCCAGTCCACTCACCACACTAAAAACATGCTATGGCAAAGTAAAGCGACAAGGCCTGTATTTTAGTAACTGTGATTTCAATATTCATCAGTAAACTTCATGGAAGCAAATGACCAATCAGTGCGTGTTTTAGAAGACGGCACAACTCTCCGGTTTCTACAAATGAATTGATTAGTTCTTAGTAATGGAAGAGAGCCACGCTGATTGGTGCCTCTGCATGCTGCTGAATATTGTAATGTAGGCGTATTTCATCGGGGTTTTATTAAATTGGCAACTACCAAATGCCACAAAGAGGCCGGGACTCACGATGTACAAAACACCGAACAATGGTTATCTTGGAAGCAAAGTAAATGTCTCGTTCATGCCCACAATGTATTATATGCAGAACACACTGGTAACAAATCCTAAAGTATTGTAAGGTGCCTTTTATTAACTTGGGCGTCTCTGGGAGTTTTGATCTGAGCAAAAATTCAATTATTTGTATATTAATTGTTATGGCAGGAGAGTATCTTCCCAATCCCCCTAAGATTGCAGGCTTAGTAGCATTCTTTTTACTCCCCAAGAGTAATCTGCAAAAAGAATAGTTAACATTTTCATTAATATCGCTATTTTTAGTGACTTCCTCTCCCCATACTTCACACCCATAGCTAATGATGGGAGCTATCAATTTATCAAATAGATTTAAAGCTGACAGTGCTTATTTTGAGGTTTGAGACAGAATTGAGTGTTTGTTAAACATAGTATAAACATTGCCTTCATTGCTTTTTCTTTTAGAGTTTTACAAGCAAATTTAAAACTTTCAATTTGATGTAAATACTATTCCCAAGTAATTCTGGCTTCCAACCACATCAATTTCATTTCCTTAGGTGTTAAGGTTTAGTATGAGATGAGGTGGCTCTAATGAACTCTTTCCTACGTTTTTTTCAATATGGTGATTTTATTAAAATACGAATAGCTAAGAGGCCGAGTGTGTTGATATAATCAGGCCCGTAGTTTGGGGGGGGGGTTCGGGGGGTTCAGTAGAACCCCTTAAATTGTTGAAGTGAATAGATTTATGATCGTAGATTAGAACATAATAAAACAAACA